CTGAACTGAGCAAGGGCTCTGAATCTTATCTCCAATATGGTCTCCCTTGAATTCGTGAATTCACAGGCAAGGACATACAGACAGTATTAGATGGTTATAGTTGCACTAAATAGAGATTTGCTAAAGTTATCATAAATGAGAGAAGCAGGAGACAGGAGATGGTATTATAAAAACATTTGTAGAAATGTGAAAAACAAGGCTGTGGATTCAGCTCAGTGGCACCCCTGCCTTGCAAGTGCAAGGTTCTGAGTTCAATCCCCAGTACCACAAAGAAAGAAAGAAAAAAAAAAAGAAAGAAAGAAAATAAAAGAAAGAGAGAGAAAGAAAAGAAATGAAAATGAGAAATGTGAAAAACATGGCCAGGCATGGTGGTGCATGCCTGTAATCCCAGCCCTTGGGAGGCTGAGGCAGGAGGATCACTGTGAGTTCGAGGCCAGCCTGGGCTACACAGGGAGACCTTGTCTCAAAAAAAGAAAAGAAAAGTGAAAAACAGGGATCTTAGCTCAGCAATCAGATCTCACAGAATCGCATGGACTGGTTCAGGACCCAAGGCATTTTGAGGGCTCTGATGGCTTTGTCCCTTTTCAGAAATACAAGTTCATGATCCTGATTCAGCCCCCTTAACATGTAGCTGCCCTCCACTCCTAACTCACCACTTCTTCGATGACTGGAAGACTGGCTCTCTGCTATTCACTAGCACATTCCCAAGACATTCCCAAGGGCAAGCTGGTGACATTCACCCCAGTCCCGGGGCAGAGCTTGCCTGCTGGCCCAGTTCATCAGCTGCCAAGCCCAGATCCAATCAGCTAAGGCAGGTGACAAACCACAGAATTCCCAGGACTTTCACCCACAAGATCTTTGAACATCTCTCTCAGAAGACAACTGTAAGCTGGTTGATGACAGGTAGGTAATGGTAGCTTAATTGGCCATGATTGGAAGAGAAGGAAAAAACAAACTCAAGGCCAATAGCAAACTAGAAGACTCAGAGAATTAGAAAAATGTAGTTTTAATCCTACCACACAGATCACTTTCAAACATCTCACTGCTTAAGCAAAGGTCACCTAAAAAACTGTCCTTGAAAAAGCCTAGCCAAACCTCATCAGCTGAGGATGCACTGCACACAGTGCTAGAATCTGCAGGTGCAGGAAGCGAAGAGGACCATGAGATGGCAGCATTTCCCATCTACGCTTTATCTATTGCTTAAAAATCCGATTTGTTGGAGCTAGGGATTTAGTTCAGGGGTTTTGGCACCTGCTGCGCAAGCGCAAGGAGTTTGATGCCCGGTACCAAAAAAAAAAAAAAAAATCTGACTTGTCTGTTGCACTTGCTCTCCTCTAACAGCCTGCCTCTTCTCTGAAGCTTTTTAAAAATTTTCTCAGTAGAGGATCAAGCCCTGGGATCTCTATTACTGAGCTACATCCCAAACTTATTTATTTTTAATTTTTTATTTTATTTTTTTGAGACAGTCTTGCTATGTAGCTCAGGCTGGCCTTGAACTCACTATGTAGTCCATGCTGGCCTCGAACTCCTGGTGATCCTCCTGCCTCACCCTCCCCAGTGCCGGATTACAGGCATGCACCACCATGCCCAGCTTGACCTTTTCATTTTTTGAAGCAGAGTCTCATTACAGTGCCTAGGCTGGACTCAAACTTGGAATGTCAGCCCTCTAAGTAGCACGGATTACAAGGATGTGCCACCATCCCCAGCATCAGAAGCTATTTTAAGAGACCTGGGCAGTCCCTGGTCAGTGAAGAAGGTATAACTTGAACAGGACAATGTGGCATCTATTTTTCCTTCCTTAAGTACACTCACTTAACTCTGAGCTCCTTTGAGTCCCAACATCATGGGACCTGTTCTCATTGTTATTATTATTTTGGTCTGATTAAATATGTAATTAGGCATAGAAACAGTAGCCCGGTTTATCCAAGGATTACAAGCTCACGAGCCATGTCTGAACTGTAAGAATTTATTTTTATTATTACATTCATTATCTGGCATTTATACAGCCCAGTTTTTTGTTGTTAGGGCCATGCTTAATGTATGTGTATCTCTCTTTTCCTAGGTCCAGTTCAAAGCCAACTGTGAGGTTTATTCCATGGCGATCTGGCAGGCCGTGGGATTTAGATATTTGACTCCAGTCTAAATGCTGCTGTGGAGATTTTTAGGGAAAGAAACTGAACAGAAAAGGGCAGCAGACCTACTTCTCTCAGACACACTCACATTCTTCATTTGCTCCAGGTCTCCGAGGGGCTTATTGTACAGACAGCCAGCACCAGGTCGTATCTCCATCCTTCTCTCCTCCTCTCTGTTCCACAACCCATCTGTAGGGCAATGGGGTAGCTCAGTGATGCAGCCCCTTCCTTACCCTGTGTGAGGCCCTGGGCTCCATCCCTAGCACCGAGAAAAAAAAAAAACATCACTGCAGGGTCTCGTGTGGGTGGGCGTGGATCTGTAGAATGATGACCACAGCGACCCATCGCTGGCAACCTCTTCTGCCCACGAGGCTAGGCAATGCCTGGCGCCCTCAGCTCCACTGGCTTCGGAAAATGTGCTGGAACTTAGGGTTACTAGAGACTCCACGCCCAGAACCACCAGGTTCCCTGACTCAGCAACTCAGTACTGTTCGGGTGAAGTGGGGTACCCTCCATAATGGGGAGGCGGAGGGGGCTTATCCTCATTCTCCTGAAGAAGACTGAGCCCCCAAGGAAAAGAGAATTCTGCCTGCCTTTGGACACTGACCCTTCCCTCCCCTGAAAGTTTGATTTGCCAGCCCCACAATCATGCAAGCCAACTCCTCAAATTCTCTCTCCCCTGTATATGCACGTACATCTCTCCATATGTAAACATGCAAATACATCCTACTGGTTTTGTTTCTCTGGAGAATGCTAATATGCCACCTATAGGCCATAATGAACACTGATTAATAAGTAGTTCTGTCGAGGGCTGAGACAAATGCATTATGAAAGTACTGAAGAGAAATTCCCTGGGGGTGGTAATAAAAGCTATAAAAAGGTGACACTTGAGTTATAAAGAATGAATAGGGTCCAGTAGGCAGCAGTATAGGATGAAGGCTCTAGGCAGAGGAAACCCTATGAGCAAAAATAATTGTGCAAAAAGTGGCAAAATCAGTGCCCTCTCCCGGTACCGAGACACAACATCTAACATGTGAACTCTTACTGTTTTGTAAGGGTTTCTATATCAACAGCAGGAAACTCCACAACCCTGTGAAGCAGGACACTGATTATCCCAACTTCAGTGTTTCCAAAACCAAAGTACACAGAGTTTAAGCAATCTGTCCAGCACACCAAGGTAAGCAGGAAAATAACCAAAGCAGTCTGGCTTCAGAGTCCACAATCCTAACCACTGTGTCTAAGACATTATATGCTTGGGGCTGGGGATTTAGCTCAATGGTTCCACCACCTGCCTCGCAAGTGCAAGGTCCTGAATTCAATCCCCTGTACCCAAAAAAAAAAAGTCCCTATATGCTTGAAAATTTAAAATTTTATGATCAAAGCAGAGGCCAGGCATATTTAGATCTAGAGACTTGCTTTTGTTTCCTAGCATTCCCTTCTACTTTTCCTAATGGACGAATAAAAGCCAAGCCTAAAAAGAAGAGCAGTAGCAGCCATACATTCTCAGAAGGACTTTCCAGCGCGAGTCTTTGTCCAGATTGGAACACTGCAGGCTTGCTCTAGCCTAAACCAGAATTGACAGTTACCTTTTCTTCCATTTACAATGAAGCGACAGTAGGGGGCAACCTTTTATTATCTCTGTCCTAACAGTAGTGAGTTTTAGATTATTCTCCAAATGCCTCTGAGCCTCCCTTCTTCAGGAAACAGGTCTGAAGGGCACACTACCTTGGCCTTCCACTTTGGTGTTGCCTTTCCTTCTCCCTCCGATTACAGCCCTGCCAAGCCCCAAATTTTACCCATCTTCTCTTAGATTGTCCCTGCTTCACACTGAGCTTCTGTGGAATTTTTGCTTTTAAGTGCTTTCTAATTTAGTCAGCAGAAGTGTCTCCCTCGATTACTCATCTAACTCCAATGGCTTTGAAAATCAACCTAGCCTCACCCAAATGCTCATCTAAAGGGCAGATGGCACCAGACTTCAAACATCCAAACTGGGTAAAACAGCAGGAGCAAGCTGGCAGTGAGACAGAGGTGAATTATCTGGTTACTGCAACAAACATGTAATATACCGACTATCTTCATCCAAAAGAAAAATCTAGAAACTATATAACTTTTTTAATATGAGGATAGTGATATATGGAGGTTTAATGGTTAAGAATCATTGCTTTTCGCAAGGACCCAAGTTCGATCCCTGGTACCAAAAAAAAAAGAAAAAAAGAATCATTGCTTTGGAGCTGGAAATACATAGCTCAGTGGAAGAGCATATGTATGTTTCAATTCCCAGGATCCTCCCCAAAAAAACACTGCTTTGGAAGTTTAAAAAATTTTTACATATATACATATATGCATGAATGAATATGCTGGAATTCATAGACACAATCCTAAAAATACACATATGCACAATTCTGTGAGAAAGTTATGAGAATCCATGTCCCTTCCAAACACCATTTCCATTACCTCTCTCAAGAGTCCAAGCACTCCCAGCTTTTAAAAAAATTAAAAACCTGAAAAAATATTCCATTAGTTGGAAATTTCCATTGTTTAAAAGCTATACTATTCATGCAGTAATACTATTGAAATATTGAAGTACTTTCTCCCAAACCACTAAAAGTAACAGCTATTATTTTTTATTTTTAAAGACTAGTGAAGAACTTTAAGAAATTAGGTCATTTCAACTAGTATTTCACAATATTTTCTATCACCTTTCTGGAAGAGATTCCAGGAATGGGCTAGTAACCCTGTGAATAATACATGTGGCACATTAAGAGGAAGAAGAGAGAACAGGAAAGCAAACCAAATAGAACGTTTGAAATCATGTACAAAGAGGGAAATATACAGGCTAAGTGATATTTGATAAATGACACTGGAAAATTCAGAGATTTCTTTATTAAATGTGTAAAAAGTAGTCCTCACTTTACAAGTTTGAAATCAGACAAACATATGGAGTGTGTAATTGGTATAAACTATACCCACCCAAAAACTCACTGCGGACACAATCTATATTACATTCGGGGTCTGCATATTTACAAGGTGCTCTCTGCAAAGTAAACACAAAACAAACTACCATTATTTTATAGTTCAGTACATGTTTGATATAGTTTCAAAAGACGACCTTTTTTTAACCAATTGCCTACTTTGTGAAAAATACAGCAAGACTAATCATAAGGGTTCAATTTTTAGTTAGGAAGATATGTATCAGTTACTGAAATACACCTCAGGTTTTCAATTTTAATCATCAAGATAATGTCACTTCTGACTTACTATTGGTCTTAAAATAGTATATATGCTTATATATATATTTGTTGTGGCATTTTAAAAAGTCTTCAAAACTTGAATATAATTATGAAAGTATGTGCTCCTTACCATTCATCCAATAAACACTATTTGTGTGTGTGTGCGTGTGTGGTACCGGGGATTGAACTCTGCACCTTGCGCTTGCGAGGCAGGCACCAGAACCACTGAGCTAAATCCCCGGCCCAAACATGATTTATTTTAATACAAGTCACAAAAGTTTAATTAATTAACCAGAAGTCTGCATCTATTTCTGCCTGCTGGGGCTCGATCTTAAATCTAACTGTATATATAACAGGACTTACTCCATAAGATTAACCCTATGCTGACCTATTCCATTGCTTACATATCTAAAGCACGAGATGGTCTACACCAGCGGCCCTGGTTATCAGACACACGGCTCCACATCAAAACCACGGTGTCACCCTGTGGAGCACCTGTGCCTCTGCTCAAGTGCCCAGGTGAAACTGATTCGAAGCCTAGCGTGGGAGGCTGAGGCCCTGACCGCTAGGCTGAGACACAGATCTCATCTTTGAAGTGCATCAAAACCACTGGGGAAACGCGAAAACACAAAAGGTAACAAACACACAAATGCATTTCAACAGGTGGAGAGTGGTGTGTGGGAAGCAGCACCTGCAAGGCCCACACACCTGGTGCAGAAGCTCAGCGGTTCCAGGGACAGTGTCCTGCAGGCCCTATGAACCCTGCCCCGGCCGGCTCAGCAAGGGCTGGGAGGCAGCAGCCTTTCAAATAAGAGCTATTGATATTCTTCGATATAAGGTCTAAGTTAAGGGAATTGTAAGGCCATAAGGCATTCGCTAAAGAAGGAAATGACTCTTTCAAACCAATTATTTAAACCCCTACAGAGCCCGGCCTTACCGCTCCAACTCTAACGCTTCCTCTATCACTAGCCTGCCATGTAATCAGAGGTAGGGATTCCAGCATACCAAAGACATGATGTGGATTACAAAAGGCAGATTCTAATGACAAACCTTTGCAGTCCTGCCTAACAGACTGAAGACCAGCTGAATAATAATAATCCTAAATAAGAGAGCTGAATAATAATAACCCTAAATAAGAGGGCACAACACACTCGTGATTTAAAACAATGAAACTTCATCTTTCCCTCACATACTGAGTTCCTGCGCAGAACATCAGGAAAAACCCAGAAACACGAAAGGCATCAGGCTGCCTGTCCGGAAGCTACTGACCAGCTTCCCACAGGCCCAGAGCTGTCTCTAGAGGAGGTAACTGTTCCACTTCACACTGCGTTAGAAGCCATATGTGAGGAGACCTCCTCCGCTCCTGCCCCGCTTCAGGACCCACTTCAGGGCGAGCTCGAGGTAAGCAGCGACACAGGAACGGGCAGGGGACTCAGCGTCCTGCTCCCCTGCGTCTGAGGCACGGTTATTCTCCATGAGGCCTCTGCTCCGAGGGCACTCGGCTTCCTAACCAAGCCACAGGCGGCTGCCAAACACCAGCGCTGCGCTGCCAGAAAGGTGGTCCGTTTATACGGTAAGAAACCGCAATGTCTGCGTTACACTCAACACGTCCAGAATTCATACTGACTTTGAGAGCTCAGCCCACACATGTGATAATCAGAGTTTTCCGGTTCACAAACAACTCAAGGCCAAAATGATTAATTTTATGGTAAAGCAATGTTGAAAAATCACATATAAATATCCAAACCAAGTGACACTGTATCTGCTGCTCAGAGGAAAGGCTTCCTGAATGGCTGAAATGAAGAGGATCCCAATTAAACTCAAGACTAAGACACCGTCCGCACCCACCCAGGCCAGCAGGGCAGAGAGCATGCAGCTCCTCATGTCCTTTTGGCCGGCCTGGCCGTCAGCTGCTTCTCTCTCTCGAACTCCTTCTCCCGCTGCTGCTCCTTTTCCAACTCTTCTTTTTGCCTCTTCTGCTGCAGTTTAAGCGCTCTCTTCTGTATCAGGGAAAAAAAAATTAAAAACCAAGACAACAACCAAAAGTTATGGCCTCATTCAAGTAAAAATGTTTCAAAGTCATCAATACATGTCCCAAAATTTCATATTTAAGTTTCTAAATTCTTTCTGGATAATTTAAGGTCCCCTTAATTTTTTAAAAAAATTCTTTTTGCTACTCTACCCCTCTTTCTCTCTCTCTTTCAGCCTTTCCCCCTCCCCCTGCCCCCTTCTCTCCGCCTTCCTCTCCTGCCTCAGCCTCCCCAGTAGCTGGGGTTACAGGTGTGGCCACCGGCCCGGCTGTACTCCAAGCTCTCGGTAAAGAAGCTCAGACGGGGTAAAAAGAAATGACAATTTTGGGGGTAGGGAGACACCTCAGTGATAGAGCACTTGCCTAGCATTCAGGAGGCTCTGGATGGCGTACCCAGCACACACAAAAAAGACAATTTTTAAAAGAAAACAGTATGATTTAAGTACGTTCCTGCACAGGGAGGTATAAACAGTCAAAAACTGGATCCTGAAGAACCATGTCCGCCCTCAGGGTCCGCGCCTCACCTTCAGCTTGGACGTCTTCTCGTGCAGCAGCAGCATGTCCCTCCTTATGCTCACCAGCTTGGCATGGTAGTGCTTGGCCTCCATGAACTCGGGGAGGGAGACAGGAAGTCAAGTGAAAACAGATGGAAATACCAAACGGATAACTATGTCAGTGCCATACTAAAGTTCAGTCTTCTAATCAGACCATTTACTTAGAGCCTTAACTATATGTGCATTCTAAACTCCGAAATACAAAATCTGAGACGATCAGGAGGACCCTAAAAACATTTGATTCAGTTCAGACTGACAAGTTACTGAACCCTGGGTGCAGACAACATCTGGCTTTAAAGACAGGCGACATGACCCTGAAAGTTAAGCGAGACTGCCCACCCTACTGGTTTCATTGAAGAAACAAAAGGCTCAGCGGCCTTCCCAGGGAGTCAGAGCCCAGGACCCACGTCTGCTCATCAGGAAAGCCAAACCGAGACCAGGGTCCCGCCAGGGCAGTGGACAGGTCTCCTCTGTCCTCTGTGAGGGCCCTGCTCAGCCCACCCACCACACCAGAAGATTCAAGGATGCCTTGGCCCAGGCAGGTGGGATGGGGGAAACACCTGATTCTCAGGCAGGGCAACACAGAGAGAAGCCAGATGCATCAGAGGGCTCTTGGACCTTAACAGAGCGCAAGGGAAGTCAAACGGCCGCACTCTAGAGCTGACAGCCTCCAATCCACGTTAGGGCTGAGAGAAGGACAGAGGGCGACTCAGACTGTTTCTGCCCCTTCGGAACAGAATTACAGCTGCCTGGTTCATTCACCCAACATTCATTCATTCATTCACTCAACAAACACCCGCCATCCTGCAGGATGAGCTCAGAGGAACACAGGTCAGGGCAGCCTCGAGGACCTCCACACAGCCAGGATTGGCTGAGCAGGTGACTGTATCCGCTACCTCAGGCCTCTGTGGACTTTGCTTCTCATGGTTACATAAGGGAGACAGTACTAAATCACAGCTGTCCGATGAAGGTCCATTTTTTTGAGGCATGCATGAACCCCTCTAAAATCATCCAAACCAAGCCAGTCCCCAAGTTCAAGGGCAAAGAAAGGCAGCCACAAATTCCTCAATTTTGTTAATTCCCTTTTCTTAAAATAAGAGTATCAGTTCCTCTCTTCAAAAAGCTAGAGCACTGTGGGTGAAATGCAACTACTCAGCTTTTGTACTGAGAGATATAACTGGTCATTCTCAAAGCATCCATTTCAACCCATGGCATTAATTTACTACCGCATTACAAATAGGCCACACAATTAAACGTTACCTGACAAAACCTGAATTGACGGTGAAAGACAGAGTACACTGTGCTTTAGAGTAAAAACAGTACCCAAAGCTCCTTACTCCCGGTTCCCTTTTCTGCTCTCCAACGAGCACATCTAATCCTGACTCGTAAATAAGTTCATTTCCTATGATGAGTTCAACAATTGAAAGATAACCATCCAAGAATATGGAAGTTCTAGTAAAGTAAATCAAGGCTTCCTATTTAAAAGACACATTCTAAATTTTAAAAATTAGACCATATTTCTAAAATAACATATCACTGATTTGTATCAATGAAATCGTACTTACCAAAGCATTAATATCCAACATAGAATGACATTCTTTAAATTTTGAAATCTCTTGTTCCAAAGTATCTAATAATACAACCTGGTTCTGTCTGAAACAAAAGCACACGGCCAAAGTAAAATTCACATATCGCAAGTGCTGGTTTGTTAAGAGGAGGCTCATTCACCTTGCTTAGAGGTAAAGGTCAGCAATTAAGTTGGAAATACATTGCCCTTCCACTGCTTATTTGGCTTAGTATAATCTTTTTCAAAATAATATTCCAAAACCACATTCTGACAATTAAATGTCTTTTTCATTCTTGCCTCAATTTCAGACTCCAATACCTAAAAAATTAAATCACTTAAAAACATTTTATTGTTATTTTAGTAACTCTCCATTATCTCTCAAAAAAGATTTTTTGGGGGGGTCAGAGATTTAGCTTAGTGGTGCTGCCACCTGCCTCACAACCAAAAGGTCCCAAGTTCAATCCCTGATACCAAAAAAAAAGTTTTTAAAAAAATAGTGCTTTGCCTAAAAAGCAAAATGTTTTATGTATTTTAAAACTGCAAAATTCCCACCAGGCATGGTGGTGCACGCCTGTAATCCCAGCACTCGGGAGGCTGAGGCAGGAGGATCACCATGAGTTCGAGGCCAGCCTGGGCTCCCTAGTGAGTTCAAGGCCAGCCTGCACTACATAACCAGACCCTGTCTCAAAAAAGTTGCATCATTCCCGTAAAACATAGAGCAGGACCTTTCTGCTTAGGGTTGGGGAAGAAGGCAAATCAAGGGATACAGAGTCAAAAAAGGATAAATAAGCAGCAAAATGAAAAAAGCACAGAAGGAAAAATCACAACCTCCCCCTGCCGGCAGCCAGGTGTATGACCGTGGAAATCCAGTTTACGCCTCTCGACCTGAATCTCCTTGTTTATGAAGTGAGAAGGTTAGAAAACTTCTAAGGTTCCTCACTAAAATTCTGATTGAAACCCCACTAGGGCCAGAAGACAGCTTCCCTGTCATTCCTCTCCACAGCAAGCAATGTAAGAATCAAAGGTACAGTGAAACTACAGGGTCTCCTGAGCAACACTGTGAAGGAAAATATGCAATTTGCTCACAAAACTGTGCCACCCAGACACCCGGGTGAAGGCAAGAAACGTCCACGAGGACCTGAAGGTCAGCCACAGCCCATCCGCCACCCAGCAAGGATCGGCCGCTGCACAGGCCTCGGGCTCAAGCCTCTTCCACACAGAGACCCCGGGGAGACTCAGAACAGAAGACAAGAAATCGCAGGAGCACCCCAGGACCTTAGCAGGCGGGGACTCATTCATGAAAAGACACAAACTACCAAAACTCACACACAGAGGAACAGAAGATCTACACAAGTAAAGAAATAACTTTCCAAAGAAGAAAGTACTAGAACCAGACAGAGTTCACAGGTGAGGTCTCCCAAGCATGTAAGGAGCAGGACCAATCCTCCATCTCTTCCAGAAAACAGGGCGCTTCCTCACTCATTCTGTGAGGCTGGCCTTACCCTAAAACCAAAAGCAGACAGCAAGAAATGAATATTATAGGCCAGTATCTCTCATGAACATGGGTGCAAAAATCCACAGCAAAGGCCAAGTGTGGTAGCACACACCTGCAATCCCAATACTCAGGAAGCTGAGGCAGGAGGATTGCAAGTTTGAGACCAACCAGGCTATTCAGCAAGTTCAAGACCAGCCTGAACTACACAGCAAGACCTTGGATCCAAAGCAAAAATCCTCAACAAAATATTAACAAGTTGAATCCAATAATGTGTAAGAAGAATTACACACCACAGCCAAGTAGGATTTACACCAAGTATACAAAGCTGGTTCTACAGCTGAAAATCAGTGTCATCCACTAAATCAACAAGCTAAAGAAAAAATATAGACCATACCAATTGATGCGAAAAAAGCATTTGACAAAATTCATTCTACTCATGATTAAAAACATTCTCAACAGGGGCTGGGGATTTAGCTCTGTCACTGGACCTGTCCTGAGTTCCATACCCAGTACAAAAAAAAAAACAACAGACAAAACATTCTCAATAAACTACAGACTTCCTCAACTTGATAAAATATAAAGAAGTCCACAGCAAATCGCATACTTACAGTGAGAAAGCAGGGCATGTCCCTCTTACTAATCCTCCTATTCAACATGTCACTAGAAGTCCTTGCCATTGTAAAAAGGTAGGAAAATAAAAGGTACAGATTGGGAAGGAAGAAATAATACTGTCTTTGTTCACAAATGACATGATTCCCTATCTGGAAATTCCTAAAGTATCGACAAAAAAAATCTCCTGAAACTAACATGCAAGTACAAGGTTTTCAGACAGGAGGCAAATATACAAAGTCAGCTGCTTTCCTATGCACATGGCTAATCCTACCTTATCCTTTAAAATAAAACTAAGTACAGAGCTTTCTGAATCCATGAATCTAGGCCAATGTCATCAATTACACTCTTCAATTAAGCCTTGATTCCCAGCTTTCTCAGGGTAGGATGCTCTCCAGAAGCTTTGCAGGCAGTTTCTTATCTCCCTTCAGTCTACCCAAACCCCCACAAAATATTTATGGCTTTGCTGCCTCCAGGACTGACTGGCATCAAAACACAAAGCATCTTGTGCACTAGGAATGAACGTCTCCCTGGGGACCAGGAGAAAATCAAGAACACTGCCAAGTCCCCAACTACAACAGGGTGCCATGCAGCATCACTTCCGCCCTCCTGGAGCACCTTATAGTCAAGGGTTACAGCGTTGCTCACTAATAACTAAGTAAGGTAGAGTCAGTGATCCATCCTCCTCTTCCACCCTACAAAGGCTTCTGAATTGAGTTTTTAAGGGAAGGTCTTATAGCACAACTACTTCACAGCCAGTTTAAAGCTGACCACCAAAGAAAGACATGACAATGGACCGGACTGGGTGCCCCAGAGGTTCCACTGAGGCAGAAGCTGAGACGCTGTCTCTGAGGGGGAGCAGCACTCCGGGTGTAGATTTCTATGCAATGACCCCACTCTGTGGGTCCCGTTCTATCGTATCCTGTTCCTCTCTTCCCACACCCTGCGAGCCTTACTTACTGGGAACAAAACAAGTCCTCTCAAAAAAGAACTGAAGGACCTCTGTCAACTCACTTGAGACTCACTAAAAACAAGTGTGACATCTGTGGGGGCAATTTTTCAACTCTCCTCAGAGACAGGTATGTATCTATCCGCCCCAAAACAAGGCCCCATCGGCAACCAAAACCAACCGCAGAGTCCAGGAGTGCTATCTCACGCTTCACATCGACATTACTCTGCACTCCTCTCGCCTCACAAACACCCCATCATGATTAAATGTTGCACAACATTACATTTAACCCCGAGGGAACTCTGAGGCAGACTGTGCTAGGGAGGGGGGGAAGGAGGGGGTCAGCTTACGTGAGCTCCTGAAGGGCTTGTTTTGATCTCTGCAGGTCCGGCAGGTAGTGAGAAAGCAGACCCTCCGCCAGCTGCTCCACAGCTCTGTCTTCCACCAGCAAGTCCTCGATTAACCCTTCATCGGGAGAAGCGTCGCTCACCCCTGTTGGGAGCAGAGCGAAAGTCAGATACAGGCAGCTCTTAAATTGCCCAAGTACTGGGGCTAGGGATTTAGCTCAGTGGTGTCGCCACCTGCTGCGCAAGCACAAGGGCCCGAGTTCTATCCCCGGTACCAAAAAAAAAAAAATGAAGCTTTAAATTGCCAAAGTACTAAGAGAGGCTGGGGAATCACCGGCAGGAGGAGGAAGCGGGCAACAGTCACTAAGTGAAAGCGCTCTTCCTTTACCAGCAGGCACAACCACTTTCACTTCTCCTATATAGAGTCATCTTAATTCTTTCAGATCTTTTTCTCTCCACCCCAATCTTCTGGTTAATTATCGAATAAGTCTCAGTGTTTTTATAAATATTTCGCTATTAAGAGCCAGGTAATGCTGGGCACGGTAGCACATGCCTATAATCCTAGCACTTGGGAGGCTGAGGCAGGAGGATCACCTCAAATTCAAGGCCAACCGGGGCTACATAAGGGGTTCAAGGCCAGCCTGAACTACATAGTAAGACCCTATCTCGAAAAAAATACATACATATATACATACATACATACCAGGTAATTTATTGCAGGAGTTTAAAAAAGAAACAGCCCTGGGCCGGGGATTTAACTCAGTGGTTCCACCGCCTGCCTCCCAAGCACCAAGGTCCGGAGTTCGATCCCCGTTACCAAACACACAAAAAAAATATATCATGTACAGGTATAAATTCCCAATGATGAATGTCATCATATTGTATACCTAAAATGTACCAATAAACTTAAGAAAAACAAAAAACAAAGCAGCGGGGGACACATTTAACTCAAAAAGAACTCACAGTCTGAAAGTCAAAGATGGAAAACAATACTCCATGCAACAGGAACCCAGGAAAAGCAGGGGTAGCTATGCTATTTGTAGACAAAGTGGATTCAAACCAAGACTGATTAAGAGAGACAAAGAAGGTCATTTCATCTTTGTAAAAGGAACAATCCAAGAGGAAGAGATAACAGTCATAAATATATATGCACCAAACATCACCCCAACTATATAAAACTATTAAAACAAAAATACTAACAGACATGAAAAAATCAAATAAGCACTAATACAATTGTAATGAGGGACCTCAATATCCCACTGTCACAAATAGATAGATCAAGTACACAACAAAATCAACAAAGACATATCAGAATAGTGCCCCCTTTTATTTTTAAGGCTCCATTTTCTAAGGTCCCTAACAGTAGGCCTTTGGACTCTAAAGATTATTCTTTTAGTTTTTCACTTCTATGTCCTGTTCCCATAGTATCTACATTCTGAGAGATTTTCTGTATTTTTCTAGTCAAAGAAGAAAATACATATTTAAAATTAGCAATCGTTTAATTTTGAATAGCTTTTACATTTTAGTGCATTACTCTGAGAATGCTTGTCTTCTGTTACGTTACCTCTCCCTCCCTGAGGGCTCATTATTCTGTTGGTTCGGTTTTGCTCACTCTTTCCTGCTGCCAGTTTTTCTCATGTGCTGAAGATTCCTCCTGGTACAGCAGGACAGGGAAGCCACCATTTAAAGCAGCAGGGAAATGCTGGGGAGATGGGCGGGAGGAAATGAAGAGGTCGCGAACAAGAGGGGCCCCGCTGGGTAGCAGAGGACAAGTGCGTTGGCTTAGGGTGGCCAGGTGGGATCCAGGTATTAAGCCTGCAGAAGCTTCACTTCTGGTCGAAATAACTTACTTTAGTGCATCCACGACTCAGCTTCTCCCAAACATCGATTTCTTTCCAGAGAAACTACCTGGGCTTTCACCTCGGGGAGGATGCAGGTGCCTCAGTGAGGTGTGCAGGGAAGTGAGCAGAGTGGAGACCCCAGGAGCGGCTTCCCCTTGTCAGTCGTCCCCTTCAGGTCTCCTGGGTTCCGGCCCAATGCCCTCCTCTCCTCATCTCTGTCCCTGAGCCGCCTTTGGAGCTCTGTGGGTTGGTCCAGTTTGGGGGAATGCTGGGTATTTTACACCTGTTTCTTTAGAGGCCACAATGCAGCTGAACAATGAGCTGGCAGACCTTGAGCTTTCCACCTTGTGAGCTATGCAGCCATTGCTACACGATCTAACCACTTGCTGTGATTTAAAGAACACCACTTCCTTCCCATCCCTGCCGCCTCAAAAGCCCCTCTCAAGTCCAAACATACGGTCTCTTCTGACCCCCTCGACCATTAACATCAGTCAATCTTTACACAATTCCTAATTAATTCTCCCCGGAAGGCCTGTTTCTAGCAATGCCAAGGGCATGGGTCCCTGTAGAGAAAGAACGCTCTGTCCGTCTCCAAACACCTGGCCGTCCTTGGATCCCAGACGGATGGAACCAGGGCCACCGTGAGCTGATGAAAGTGTCCCCAGGATGCTTCAGGGCCCTCTTCATGTCAAAATCAAACCTCAAAGTCTCGGTCTTGCACCGTGCAGGTGCAGCGCTCCTGGCCTCGAGGCTATTCTCCTGTGGTGTATCCACCAACCCTCCACTTTCCTCCACGCCCTAACTAGGGCTAAATTCTTCTAACCACCCTCCTGCACGCTGCACAGTTCCCAGCTAACAGTGTATTCCAGGCTGTGGCTTCTGTCAACTCACTTCTTTTTTTTCTTCTGGTACTGGGGATCGAACTCGGGTGCTTGCAGGGCAGGCGGCAGAACCGCTGAGCTAAATCCCCGGCCCTGTCAACTCACTTCTGTCCACTTTCCAATTTCCAGGAATTTCTGGAAACTTCTTGTTCACTGGTGACCCAGCCACCTGGTTCTCTCTGGTGTTTCCATTACTTTTATATTTTTATAAACATAAAACTCTCAGAGAGACAGAAATAAAATGGTAAAATGTAGTTCACCACCTTAAACCCTGTGGCATGATATAAAAAAATAAAGATAGGCAGAAAGGAGACGAGGAAAATCATAATTTTTAAATGAACTTTTAGTAAAAACTGCAGGCTCAGTACACACACCCAAAACTCCGAAAGTTCTGAGCCATTCCCTTTTACCCATAAAGGGATCGCTTTCACCTATGCATAGACCACACCTTTCCCACTCATATGTGCCTTTCCCCACATGCAGGGGATACAGCTCTGACCCCAGGTGGCTGTCACCACGAACAGGCCACCATCCTCCCTGCAGAAAGAGCCCACCTCCCACTTCCCTCAAGGTCCACAGCTGTGCTCCCGAGACCCCTATGAAGGCCTGGCTCGAGGCCATCAGCGCCTTTCCTCTTTCTGGAGAGCCACACTCTATTGCTCTGCATGGCACTTTAAAATTCTGGCTCACAAATCCTCCTGTTCCTCTGTCTGATGCATCCTGAAAATTCTTTCTCTGTGATGGAAATCACCAGTCTGTCCCAGTGTGAGGGAGTCTGTCAAGTTCCCCCTTTCTGCTTTGGGAAGCTCCTTGGCTCCTGTCTGGTGACACTTTGACATGTAAAGGAATTCTGACAATTACGAGTTCTAACTTGTAAGTAGAGCACCTTCCATGTTTTATTATTGCATTTTTCTGGGGGACAGTTCCGCTGGTTTCCTTAGAGTTCCAAGGGGATTAAGAACTATCAGAGTAAATGAAATACATTCTCTTAAACAGTATTCGAAGTTGGAAATTCCCATTCCATGATGCTAAGTTTCAGATCTTAAATTACAGAAAAGAAAAGAAAAGGCCCTTACTTAATTCATAGTAAAAGCATTTCCTGAACATCTATACCATACACTAGTTTCTGAAGTTTCCACAATAAATAACAAATCCCTTTCCTAGAAGGGACGATATTGGAGAATCACAGAGCATGCCAAGTGCCATTACTGAAACAGAAACTGCTACATATGTGTGGAAAAGACTTTTAAAAGGAAATGTGGGCATTTGAGCTGAGGCCTAAAGAATGAATGGGCATCCTTCTTTTTTTAAGTGTTATTCACTGTTAAAAAAACTGAAGAGAAAAGCACAAGCTGAAAAGTAAAAACACTCCTCTCTCAAACTCCACATGGAGTCATTTTGGAGATTCTTACATAGCCTTCAGAACCTGTCTTTGCATACCCATGCAAGCAGTATTTAGCATAACTCATACTCTTCTGTGTCTCAGATAACTTTCTACAGCAACATCTATGGATCTACTATATTCTTTTTAACAGAATTCTACCACAGTTTTTAAAGCAGTCCCCCATGTATGAGTTAATTTCACCTTTTGCTATTTCAAACAATTTGTAGCGCAGTTCCTAGCTAATCACTGCACATTTGTCTCAATTTCTGTGGGATCAATTCTTAAGTAGACAGCTGGGACAAAAGGCGTGTGCGTTCTTTAAACAGACATTAAAAAACTGCCCCCCCAAATGGCACCAATTTACAACAATCTATTGGTGGTCTATTTCCAAACAGACAAGAACTCTATGTGAGGAATGGAGGGGATGCAATACGGGTAAAGGAAGTAACATGGGCACAGGTGGGAATGGAGGTTTGCTCTGAAAGCTGAGGCAGGGCGAGCTGGCAAGGGAAACGCTCAGCCTGCCGATCATAAGGTATACAGCCACGTGGCCAGCCTGCGAGGGCCACTGAGTCCCATGTTCACGGGAGTGATTTTTTAGAAACTGGTGAGGATCCACTTAAGGGTTCTGAACAAGGGAACGATGTGACTACAGCTTTATCTTGGGGCAGTGGTAAAACGGCAGTGGGAGGAACAGACTGAATTAGTGTAAGGCTGCAGGTGGAATAGCCTTACAACTGCTGGATTAGGGGCGAAATACAGACAGGAGATGGGAATTGTACAGGAAAATCCCCACACTCAATAGAGGGCGAGGTAAGGCAAAAGGCCCGGCGCAATTTCAGATTCAAGTGAGAATAACTTGGCACCATTAACAGGATCAGGCATCGGCTCCGATTTATGTCTCGGCCATGTCAAAATATCCATCAGAGAGCGGCAAGCAAGAGTGAGAAAAGGGCCCCAAGACTCCCTGAGAGGAAATGTTCATAGCAGTGACTTTCGAAGGTGTGAGGGCCAAGCGATCACAGAGGAAAAGCACGACCAGGAGAGCGCTGAGAGCACTACTCCAGGGCAAACTCGGATTTCTGGAACAAGCAATCGCATTTTCGAAAGGTAGATCCAAAGCCTTTCTCGTCCAGGGTCCCTCATATGAGCCACAGGACACAGAAAACGCTCTGGGACCCATCTTTTCAATTCTCCCCGCGGAGATGGGGAGAGCGCCGCCCGCAAGGAAATCCGCTGCGTTCAGCGGACGCCCGCGGCATCAGGGGTGAGGACGGTGTAGAGGACACCAGCAGGACACAGCGGCTGACGCAGGGCAGTCAGCTGAATCACGAACCGAGCCTCTTCCTGACAGACGCATCCCCACAGTCATCAGTGTGCCGGAGCCAACAGCCGGGAGGACCCAGCACCGAGAGCCCAAAGCTCCCACTTCGCTCCCCTCCCAGCTTCCGTCGCGTCCCGCCGGTCCCGTCCCGCGCGCGGACACAGCCGGGCCGCCACAGCCGCGCACACCCTCGGGGGCCCGCGTCCCCCACGCCGGCCTGGCTCGGCCCCGCCTGCAGCACCTACCCAGCGTCGGCTCGCCATCTGGGGGCGGTGACCCCGGGACGCTCATGTCCCTCCCGCTGGGCCCCGGGAAGGGGCAGCCCGGCGACCGTCCGAAGCCGGAAGGAAGAACCCTCCGCCGCCAGCGCCCGGCAGGACCGAAGTGGCGGGAGGGGGGGGGGGGCCACCCGGAAATGAGGAGACGGAAGCCGGCCAACTCGGGGCACGTGACAGCCGTCAGGCGTCCCGGTGAGGTTCCGGGTGCTGCTGCGTCGGGAGGAGGAGTTCCGTATCGCTCCGGTCCCTGCGTCGCCGTCGGAGAGAATGAGTGCACCGGCTGGTGACGGAAACCGAAAGAGCCCTGGGCGCGGACAGGCCGGCCTGATTTCCGGAGACTGCGGAGAAGACGGACTTTTCACTATTGTGCACGCGTTAAGAAAAATCCGGAGAACAAAGGCTGCCTTCTCTCCTTACGACTTGGACTATTTAAAAAAACTTTGGTTTCCAGCCCTGTGTGACCTTCAGCCTTGCTAACTGGGGGTTTGCACGATTCAGTCTCTTCTTGATTGCAGGTGATTAAGCTCCGTGGCGGCATGTATTGAACAAATTCACCGAAATTATTGAAACCACTTGTTGACATCCTATGGGATGACGTCATAAACTTGATAGAAAACGCTTAGAAATGGGCAGAGGCAGCCCCAGACCAAGTAAAACGATTGTCTGCCTTCCTACCTTATACCCACTCATCTAGACTTTTATGGCCTCCCAATGTTGTTCCCCAATATTGCCTGTTCAATTTTCGTTGCTGCAGCCAAAGCAGTTTTCAAAAAAGTAAGAATTATGTCGAGCCTCAGAAATACACTGGTTCCCCATTGCCCTTATCAATAATTTAACACCTTTTGCTCTTCTACTACTTTTCCACTCAATATTAGATGCTGCTTAGTAAATGTGGTAAGCAAATAACTACCCCTCAAAGATGTCCGAAGCCTAAATCCCCAAAACCAACGAGTATTTTAAATTGACCTTAGAATAGGAAATAGTCGCTTCTCGGCCTTTTGGCTAAGATCAAGTGTAGAATAGGAAGATCATTCTAGATTATTCCATGAACCAGAATTAATCCTAAGGTTCTTTAAAACGTGAAGGAAGACACAAGAGTCAAGAGAGGGATGTGACTATAAAGAATGATTAGGCAGAGGCAATATTTTTTGCTTTGAAGATGGGGGAAGGGGGCCTCCAGCCAACAGTGTGGGTTAGCCCTAGAAGCTGGAAAAGGTAAGGAAACCAATTCCTCCCTGAAGTTTGTATAATGAAACTCAGCCCTGTGGATACCTGTATTTTATCCCAGTGAGACTTGTGTTGGACTTTTAGCCTATAGAATTTGTAAGATAACAAATTTGTAGTGTTGTAAGTTTACAGTAAATGTGTTACCACAGCAATAAGAAAGTAATGCGCTACCCTTCAGCTATCCTTTATTCCACCTTGACATTGTAAAACTGCCCTTGCGCACCAGCAATTCTCTTGTTCATGAAGCAGTCTGGAATATTCTGTCCTTTTCAAAGTCCTCCTCATCCTTCAAGGAGCTTCTAAATAATGCCCTTACTTTAAAATCATTCATAATCCTACATCCTTTTTTCATTCAGAAACATCTCTTAACTTTTACAAAGTGCCCCCCTGCTACTTAGCACTTAATCCATCTTTGTGTTCATTATGTCCCTTGTCTTCCATTATTACATTGCAAACTCTGAAGAGAAATTGAGAACCAAGTATTTCTCAGTAAATGGTTAGTGAGTGAAAGTATTGATTCTCTAGCTCCCAATTCCAAATAAACTCCAAAATCTGAATCACAATATTGCACTTGAGCAACTGCCCAGTAATCTTAGTTCATTGTTAGAATTATCTCCCAACTAAATAGTAAAGCCTGGTAGAATGTTCTGTGAGTTGTCGCCATCATCTTTATCTCTTGCCTCAGTGCACAGCATTTTACATGGGTTTTAAATACTGGTATGTAAATTTAATGGATGAAATTAAATTGTTACATCCTGTTTTCATTTTCTATTTCACTCTAAAGAAAAATTCTCGTTAGAAGTTTGGTGTATTAGAAAAGTGTGTGTATGAATGACTTTGCATGTATGTAGTACATCTCCATAAAACATATAAGGGATTGGCAAGGATAGATTCCACAGAGAAGATATGTTGGGAAGGAGGATCAGGGATTACAGGAACTGACTTTTCACTATAAACTATTTCTTTGTGTCTTTTGGATTTGTGTACTATGTCTTATATGATATATATA